CGGAAGAGAAAAATAAAAATAAAGAAACAACTTATTCGACTTCGTTGATATCTTCTTTACTGGCTTTAATTTCTCGCTTGTTTTACGTGTGTTCTTAGCCTCCCAAACTTGGAGCAACCCTCAAAAACGTTACCCAAAATGTGCCGTAGTGTTTCTCAAATAGTTGGAGTCGAGTCTTAACCGAAAAACTCGTCAAAAATAGGAAAACGCGTCAAACTCAATTTGGTTGCACCCAGACCCAAACGACTCATGTGGTATGTCATATTAGTCACGACGCGTACCCATTCGACTCTACACGACTCGTGTCACTAACCCACACGAGTCATGTGCCCTTAGGCGGCCAAAATACAGAGAATCTGATTTCCAGCACGGCTCATGCCTCCTGGAGGGTTTTCGTCACCCCAGGTAATTACGGAGGTCAGAACGGTTTCACGTTGTCGGGCATGGCGTGGTGGTTGAGCTACTCCGGTGCACCAATGGCGGTTCCGGCAGCTTCTCCGGCGTTCGGCGGCAAGTTGTAGGAGTTATGGTCGGATATTCGGTATTAGAGCACCGCTGAGGTGGTTGATGCTCCGGCCAGACAGCAGGTCGTGGTGGAGCAGCTCTTTTTCATGGCGGACTATCTGCTGCTGAAGGAGAAGTGCTGCAGAACAATTCATGCACACTCAAATTACGAATATGCCCATCAGTTAATTGTGTTATGAGTGGGGCTGTAATTCTCGAATTGGGCCAGTCTAAAATGGGCTGCCTCCTTAATTTGTCTTTTAATTCTATGTAGTTCGCCACGCTTGGGCCCAAGTAACGTTGACACCCGTACGTCTTCTCAAACTGAGTTAGTTCCAATACATGGCTCGACACCGTGTATATCCATTTCATGCCGTCTTCGACTCTAATAATTATTTCAAACTTATTTCCTATCAAAACTCAAAATAACACACTTCACCATAAATTGATAAAATTAATTAAATATATAATTAATTGCATATTAAATTACGACGAAATAGACACGAAATAATTCTAAATTACACGTAAAAATGAAGTATGCCAAATATCCCAAATTTAACCATTTCCAACCCGAACAACAAATAAAATAAAACAAATTCCGTGCATGAAGAGTGATTTAAAACCAAAAAAAGCATCAAGTTATCGAAAATAATCAAGATAAATTACAGTAATAACAAATACATATGCAACAATTATTAACTTGACAAAATCTTGAATCAATGAATACTCAAATAAATATAAATATATATGTGCTCACTCAAATATATTGTGAAATAACATCGAAAAATATGTGCGCTTAAGTTAGTTTGAAACACAATGTCAACCACAAGTAGAAATTGTCTAAACTCTACTAAATACAATTAATGTATATGACTAAGAATAAAAATGTCTATTTGGTTGTATTTGGACAAAGTAGAAAAATATAGGTTAAGCGACTAAAAAAATCGAACAAATAAACGACAAAAAATCACCCTAAAAAAATCGAAGAAATAAACGACAAAAAATCACCCTCTTCTATCTCCAATTATCTCCCAACATATATACACAACTCTATAAAACACAATATCGTATACTCAACTCTCGACACTTGATATTTATTCAAAACTTTTTTAATAATTTTTTTTCGTGAGACCAACTTTTCCAAACAAGAATAAATAGAGAGGATAACAACTTCTAGGTGTAGCCATTGGAGTTCATTCAAGCGCACTAGAATGGTTTTTCATTACTTATTACTCATGACTCAACAAATCAAATCGAGAATAAATGGACTAAAATCCTCACAATTCACATTGCGAGCTCCCTTTATGCTTTTTTTTTTTTT